TATTTAAGAGCTGTAAAATGAAATATTATTGTCCTTATATTTCATATGACTCAGTGGCTCTAAGAGAAGAATCCAGGAACCCCCAGAGATCCATGACACATAGCCAAGGTGTCTGCAAAAACAAAATAGCTCTAAATCATCAAATTGTGCATATATAAATGTTTTATTTATTCCAATTAAACATGCATTATGTGTCTTTAACCTCCACTTATGTTATCCTTGGGCCAAGATTGGCCTTTGTACGACCAAATTTGCCATGATGTTCATGCTTGGCTCATTAGCAAGTTAATTAGTGAACATGGAAAAACATTTCATCACATAGTAAAGTGACACTAAGCCCAAACAAGCTAAATCTGTGTTAGCATTATTAGGATTTTGTTGGGTAAAAGTCTCCAAGAAGTCTGAAAAAGTTAAAGAAGCCATATTTGAGGTCACGGGGTCATGTTCACGTGAGGGGAAAGGGTGTAGGTTTACAGCATACCAATACTAGTGTAAGCGGCACAACAAAGATTAATCTTGTACATCCCAGCAGCAGCCGTCCTCCATGCCCTGTTCTTCCTCTATCCCCTCTTCCCTCAGAATGACCCTCAACATTAACCTGCTCTTCCTCTCCTCTCATATGAACCCTTGACTGTAGCCAAGAAGCCTGCCTACAAGAAAATGAAACTGGCATGTTGTTTTGATTGCGGTCGCTCAGAGCGGGACTGCACTTGCATGCCGGTTAATGTGCGTTGTAACATGGACTCCCCTCAACGGGACATCCCACTCTCTGCTGTCTCTGTTAATGATTGCTCAGCCACTTTACGTGCCTGTAAGTTGTCGCCATGACATGTGCTCTTCAGTGTTGTAACATGCACCGTGTGTCTTTACTTCTGTGTGCTTTCAAATTTAAGCACCCGTGTTGTCACCGTCACAGATGTAGATGTTGCTTTGGTGTTTTAGCTTTTCTGATTTTTGGTGCTCTTCTCTGTCTGTTGCTACGTTTTGCAGTGAAGCATGCTGGTCTATTGTTTTGCTGGTGTTTTGTCAAGAGAACGTGAATTCAAATTGAAACGTAGTTTAAAATTAGATTGACAGTCACCAATGCAAACTTTTTGCTGTGTACAGCAGTATTTGTTTCCCTCCAGTGACCTCATAAATATATTAAAAAAAAAGTCAAAGCCATGAACAATGTACAGCTGTGCATCCCTGCAAAAGAATCTCACAATGCACAGTTACTGTGCATTTTCCCAAATAATTATTCTGATAGGACTGTCTAAATCTTACAATGATGTCACTGGAGACATAACATAACATTAAAAAAAAACTTCCAAATAATATCTCACCACTGTACCCTGGAGAAATGGGTGAACAGGATAGGATTTGAGGTATTTGTAAATGTAGGCGTCTCCAACGATTAATTTTTCTGTATTTTTATTAGTAAATAATGCTCTTGAGAGCACCTGAGGGGATATTGTGATGATGACTATTACAGTACATATTGAAGTTAACATATGGGTTTTATTAAATTATAATCAACAGCTTGAAAATCTGCAAAGCAGACAAAGTTATTGGTTGTTTTTGCTGATTTGTGATTAAATTGAAAACACAAAGCAGTAGACTTGGAAGATAAGAGGAATAAAAGACTGTAGAAGAGTGCTGGATCATATTGGAGTTTAACAAGCGGACTTTAACAGATTGAACTGCATATGAATTCCTAATTCAAGTGTGATTTCCCTTTTTAAGCCGGGGGGTATGTTAAATGGTACTGATGTGTCGCAGGAGGCACGAAGAATGTGTCTGAGGTTGCAGAGCATTGATACAATTTGCTGGAAAACATTGCAGACTGTCATAAATTTTTAGTGAATGACTCTTGATCAAAAACCATTCGTATAGCTGAACACGTCTGGGCGTTTTTACCCCTCAGTGTGTCTCCCGGGGTTGTGTGCTGTGAGCGTGGCCTGGCTAGAAAAGCTCGAGCAAGAGCTCCAGAGTTGCTGTCGACACGGTGCGGGAGATGCGTGGAGCGAGGCCTTATGCGGCCTGACGTGGAAATTATGTTTGCATTTTCATTTTTGGAGTGCTACCGGTTGTCATGAAACTCAGCCTGACAGTTCCTAACCACCAGGCAGCCGAGTGCCCCCGCCCCTCTCCTTTTCTCTCGTTGTGGGACAGATGCTAGCCTGTTAGTCCTGTGACTCTGCTCGCGCCCTCCGATTGCAGGCGACAGATGCCAGGACCAGCACGGTCCCTGTTTGAACATTGCTGTCACTGTCCTGCCTTAAGCTCAATGCATGACCTTTAATGTAAGCAAGGGGTTGAAATAAGTTACTAATGAGCATGCGTGGGACTCACCGAAAGTTACACACATCTGGGCAGGTTGTCTCAGGCATGGGAAGGCAAAAATAAGACAGTAACACTTCTTAAGTTTTATGCGCTGTGCGCTGGTGAGTTTATTGTAGGTGGTTTTGATTGAACATGTCAACTGATACTAAATAACTGCTAATAATAAATAATTATCAGTCACACAAACGTGGTAATATTTCAGTCTTAAATTCTTAATGGGAGTAAAGAAGCTTTTCAAAGACACCAACTTGGACTTTAGGAACCGATCTACAATTTTCATCTAAATTTAAAGGTAGCCAAGATATCTGGTCCTTTTTTGACTTGAAAATAGCCAAATCACTGCTTAGAGTGACACCGTAGATATTTAACAGATGACTACAAACATAGACAGCGAGCTACTCTTAAATTACTGCCCACATCTCTGAAAATCAGATTTCTAACTGACCTGTTTTACTTCTCATTGCTTTGTCCGTGTTGTCTCCACGGCCTCAATTTTTTTTAAGTGCCTTCAAGAGAAATCCCTCAGCTTTCCGTTCACAGTCGTCACTTATAATTTGCTCTCATTACGACCTGTTCTTCTCTGTAACCTCTCATCCGTCTCTGCATTTTTCTCAGCTAAAAATAGCTATAATGGATATATCAAATCAAGTAAGTTTTGATTTCCATTCTCTCTTTCTCTCGACTCACTTGTGTCTAACCCCTCCATTTGTGCATTGTCAGCTATTAATATTTGAACTGTCCCTGACCTGCTGTATTTCACTGTCCAGTCTATCATCATCATCCATGACTGTGTGTCTTATGCATAGCATTAGGAAACAGTTTTGAGTTGATTCTTTGTGTTAGGTATGAGTTAGGGCTCAGCAGCACACTCATGGCATCTTCACCATGACTGTGGATAAACCAAGTCTGGACAAAATCACTTAAAAACATTCAAATTAAATGTATGCAAGAAAAGCATTTCAGCCTCGCATAATTGAGTAAAACATATTAAAATGCAAAAAGCCGATCTTAAACTCTCTCAGCTCTCGTCCAACGCTTACAGGAGTGTGAAACTAGTGGGTAGTCCACTTTAACAGGATCTGTGATAGGCAGCAAATCTGCCACATTGCGTTGTCCTGGAGAAGTGCTGTGCATGTTTGACGTGGGGCAGATGAATAGTGGAGGTCTGGAGCAGGAAGGATAATCTGCTAGACAGCTGACTGTTGAAATAATCATCTCTCTTCTCCGGTTTTAGCTCCCAGACATTTTTGAACTAAGGAAAACACAGCTCTTCTGTCTCTTTTTATCTTTACCAGCCTCACCGCTATTATATCGCTAGTATTAAAATGTATATCGAATTCATTCCTCCCTCCTTCATCAGGCATAAACTGCATGTAGCAGCTAGTGGCTGCTGATTCACACTGTCACCTCCTTGTTCTGGTAGCATAACAATTGCTAAAACACCTGAAAGCATATTTATTAATTCATGTTTATTATAAATATCAAAGTAAATGTCAAATCTAGCATTTCATTGGTGGCTACAGGAAGTGGTTAAGTGGTGTTAAATAAAAATGAGCTTTTTTTTAAATTATTCAGCCATTAGCATTCTTGTGCCAGAAAGAATTACCCCCCTAAACCAGTGACTGTCCTTTAATTATGATAAGAGTCACAAGATGTTTTATTAACATACACACTGCTGGTCTTACGGAAGTCGGTTTATATCAAATCCTACCTTGTGTTTAGCTTCAAGAATTAAAGGATTAGTTTGCTAAAATCACAAAGAAAGTGCCATATTCTGCTTTCTCATTTAGATAACTTGAGCTTTTTTTGCTATCGTGGTTCTCACGGCTTTAAAATAAGATAAGAAAAACACCACCTATGTTTCTACAGCATCCACTACGAGCTGTTTCTATTCTTCAGTATGGTATGAAGATTATCCCAGACCACGGTAATATCATTTGTCAGTTTGTTTTTCAGTGTTTCTTAGCATCACAAATGAAATTTTATTCCCTAGTTTTGCACTGTCTCGTCAAACCTTCTGCAAATACTACCCAAAGAGACAGATACCCAAAGAATTAACAGGGGAACTGTGTTTTCTGTGATTTGAGTGAACTAACACCTGAAGAAAAAAAACACAAGTATTGTATAGCTGCTGACTTTGACTCCTCTTCATTTAGCAGTAAACAACAGTCCCTTAATCCAGCCTTATCGGTACAAGTCAGCTAAACTGAACCACACCTCAGCCAGTGAGGTCTGTAAGGGGCCGCGTAGCGGAGTTGCTGCTTTATCGGTCCGTTTGGTAAACAACCGCAAGGGAAGCCTGCTGCCCCCCGCTGAGCCCTCCGCTCTGAGACTGAGCTTCGTGGGCTCCGAGGACTCAGGCCAGGTAGGCCGCCCGCCAGGGGTGACAGAAGAGGTCAGCCGGCTCCAGCGAGCCCGTAGCCTGCCGGTGAAATACAGATACCACCCCGGTCACTCCAGTAACGCCACACTCAGTCAGAGGCAGTGTAAGGGCCACATCCCCCCACATCCCTCTTACCCTCAGCGTGTTTGGCAGGCCTGCACTCAACAACAGCACAACCAAAGCATGTGCTTGCCAGTCTGGAGTGGTTGCATGTGTAGCATTCCTTACTAATGACCCAGTGTGTGCAGCTGTCAGCTGTGAAACATTAAATATTGAACAGGCCGAGCGAGATGTGAAGGGCCAGTGTGTTGGAGCATCCCTCTCGACTGGAAAGCCCC